TTTTAAGTATCTATACAAATCATTTTTGGAATTATGTCCCTATTGAAATAAAAAGCTAGGAATTATGTCCTCTAGGGGATATGGACATAAAAAAACATAAATTTTATATGCTAAATACTTTAGGGACCCATCTTTAATATGCGCCTCTCCTAAAAAATTAAAAAAAATAATAAATACATGAATGACATTGCATGCTGCCCCAAAGAAGAAACAAGAATAAATTGAGAAGATACTTATCTCTCAGTAAAAATACTGCTGGGATACAGTACGATCACAAAATAACCATCTCACCTATAGCACACAAAAAAGAAATAGTGAATTAACATTTGCCATTTTAGAAAAATAATAATAATAATAATAATAATAATAATAAACTTTTCAACAGACCTTATTGTTCAACAAACTGAGTTTAGCTAGTGAAGAAGAGAATACAATTTCTATAGCAGTTATTAGTTTTTTAAATAGAACTGAAAATTTATGGAACAAAGTTGTGCTAATGATCACGAAAGTCATGATATCGAAAAAAGCAAGGGACGAGTTCTTAAAAGAAAGAAAGGACTGTCCAATAAAAAGAGAAGAATGGCAAAAAAACTAAAGACAAAGAACTAAAACTTACCAATGAGACTTTAGTAGTTTATGCCAAGAATATTGATATTGCTGAGAGTTAAGAAGAACCCATGAATGGCAAATCAAATTCGAGAGCATGGGGCTAGGAAAAGACTGATAAAAAAAAGTTAAAAGTCAATAGTAGAATGTTACAACTTATCAAAATTACACCAAGACTGATGATTGGAAACACCAAAATGCCATCATGATCAAGATCACAATTATGATCGCAAAGAAAATTACATAAAGTCTTACAAAAAATAAGCATGCCTAGAATATATATGCATGCATATATATTCTCAAAAATATTAGAGCAGCAAGGAAAGTCTAATGCTCCAACAAGCTCCCACCATAATAAATAACCAACAAGAGATATACTATTTCAATAATTGGAAATACTGAAACAAGACCATAAAGAAGATACCAACATGAAAAGAAAAAAAAAAGAAGACAAGAATAATTCAATCACAATATACCGACCCCCTCTATAATCTTCTTGCTTTAAATCAATAAATTTCAGAATTTTATTATATATCACCATGATTACTACTGGGATTTCATAAGTCACGTGACTTAGAGCATGAAGCTGAAGAAATGATGACTATAACGATGATGCAACTCTACTTCACATGAATTTGAAGAAACTACTCAGAGGCCAAAGAAGATCCTAAAAACAATAAAAACTCCAACAATACTGAAGTATGTCATGACCAAGAACTATATGACCTACAAAAAAAAGATTATGACAAGAAGATGGCAAGAACCATAATAACGATAATAGTAGGGACAATATTGATATGGAGATGGCAAAAAAGAAAATATTTACAACTAAAGATGGATTCCTAAATTATTTGTGAGGATATAATTCAAATATTCCTTATTATTAAAAATTTTCATTTCTATATTAAGAAATAAAAAAAAACTACCTACAAAAGTTTTTTATAGTTTTAAGCATCTATACAAATCATTT